TTGAAATTGGATGGATGTTTATATAAATGGTAGAGTTAGATATGTATTACCACTCACCTATGGAAATTTGGATAATTTATATGTCTTGGAGTTTGTATATCTGTTTAGAAATATCTGTTTTGGGCTATCGGTGGAGGATAGCTATGATTGTTGTAGAAATTGCATGAGAATTAGGTGAATTGAAACTAATTTCTTAGCCGTTGTCATTGAATATGACTATGTCTTTAATACATTGTAAATGTATGATGTTTGGGAGAAGAATGTGGATGTACTCCATATTTGGAAGAAGAAAGGGGATGGACTCCATTAAATGAAGTTGGCTTGCGTGTGTAGAGTGAAAGTCCCGAAAATCGTGCATATACATGGGTGTCGATTCCAGGGGATGAAATATCCATAAAATGGCAAAATAAAAGTATCTGTATGATGGTTGTGCTGGTTAGAGACCCATTGAGTTGTACCCTCAGTTTGGTTGTTTGAATAAAATAGTAAATGACTCATGAATTGAGATATAAAGCTTGGCATGGCATGGCATGGCATGGTTTTGCAAAAGAGTTATAAATGATTTTATCACGGGCATTGGATATGCATATCATACTTATATCTTTGTTAAGATTCATACATTGGCGGTGTTTGGGAAGCTGTGGGGTACGCTCTTTTAGCCTCAAATTTGAAAAAAGCCAAGTAGCCTTTACTGTAGTTGAACCAATGATTTATATTATAAAAAAACAAAAAATAAAAAATAGAAAACAACTTGGTAGCCTACATTGCCACTTGACAGTGCACTGACACCCTACTACTATCACTTGGCAGGATGTCCCACCGATAATAAATAACACTTTTGCCCCTTTACACCAATTTTGGAAAAAGTGAGATTAGGGACCAATTTGTCATTTCAACCTCAAACTTCATTTCGAACACATTTTTTAATACAACTCAAATAAAAATCCATCCTATCTTCCCAAACACATTAACTAAAATAGCTAAAAAGTCAAAAAGCCTAAAAAATAACCACTTCCCAAACACTTACATTGTGTTAGATTGTTTTTACTGGGCTTTGGCTCACCCTATTTGGGAAAATCATTTTCAGGTGCTGATGATATGCCTCCACCAAGGACTTACCTTGGGAGGATTGTGGAGCTGAAGGCTCAGTTTTGTTTATCTTGTATTTAACTTTTGTATAAGCCTAGGGCTTTATTTGTATTGTGTTTATGACTCATTTTTGATGTACCCAAGCCTTGGCTTGGAAAAATGTAAATTATTAGGGCATATGAACATTTGTTTAGCTTTCATTCCCTATCACTTTTTGTATATTAATTCTGATTAATGAAAGCTTATCATTTCAATTATGTCATCTTGTATTAGTTGTTTAGAGATGGGTTATTATAATTATTTCGAGACGTTACAATAAATGCGAGTGTGCCAACAAGGATTGAAAAATCCATACAGATTAAATTCAAGCCAATTATCAAGCGATTGCATTGACGGTTCTTTTGCCTCAACGAAGAGGATTTCAAAATTTCCAAGTGTAGGGAAAAGAAAAATTAAAAGAAGAATGGGGGAAACGAAGAAAAATGATTGAGTAAACAATCGGGGTAATTGAGTGAACAATCAAAGTAACCATTAATTACTTCTACTCCTATGCTTTGAAAATGAAGTTCATAAAATAAAGTGCATGAAATATAAATCTATGTAAAACTACTCCTAAGATAAGGAAAATGACAAGAAAAATAGAAATCAATTGTCTTTGATTTAAGTTGGTCCCTTTACAATGTAGCCATGAATGGCTATTTATAGGCAAACATTTCTAGGAAAAAATTACCTAAAACTACCCACTTTTCCATCTCCTCCATTTCATACTCCATGATCTTCCATAACTTCCTTCAATTTCCACTTCATGCTCCATGTTCTCCACTTTGTTTTCCATCATCTTTTCACATTTCATAACTTCTTATAACCTCCAAATGAGTAGGAAGGTGTCACTTGTCCTGCAAATTATATAAATTATAAATAATAAAACTGCAGATTTATGATACCAATATTACCCCCTACGGCCATTAAAAATGATGATTACTTGAATTTTTGATGGGCCGAACCAAACACATGACTCATCTAAGCAACAAAATGCTTCAAATAGGATCAACAAAGTGCTTCGAATGATATAATAACACCAAATGTTCACTATTTGTCGGTTGAATGCAAGAGCCATTGTTTGACTACAACCGAAGCACACATACTGTCATTATTTTGTGCCTTAAAAAAATAAAAAATAAATAAAAAAATTGCCATCAATTTGAAAAGATAATCCATTCTCAACCACTGATTTAAATGGATAGGTTTTTCCTAGTCAAGTTCAACATTTCAAATGGCTAAGTTGTTCTTTAGTATATCAAACTCATCAAAATAATGCTTAAAGATGATTGTTTTATTTGCCATTTCATCAAAATTAAATTTTGATGTGAACCACAAATCCAAAAAGGATTTTGAACACCTAGAACCATTGTACAAGATGGCCTTAAAAATTCAAACAACTTGACATTTTGAATAATGTCACCACCCAACCCTAGGGCTTAATGCTGGAATCGCAACTTACTAATTCTAATTGCACAAATTAAAGGGCACAAATAGAAACGAAATAAAAGTAAGAAAATAATTAAATAGATAATTCACTTCATTAATCACCTCCTCCTAGGGAAATAAAAAGGAAATACATCCATTGGGCTTTTATTATTTTATTATGCAGTGACAAAAAGTTAGGAAAAAGAAAGGAAAAAAAAAACAAATGTAACAAGTCGGTATCCAATTTCAGTGGGGTCCCACTATTTGAGGTTATAGTTCTTCCTTACATCTCATCACCTGAAAGGGGTAGCAGCTATAAGCACACATCAGAGTAAGAAATATTAAGCCAAAAGTATAGGAAACACAAAATAACCATGGATAGTTATTTAAGCTAAAACTTTAACATAACTTAATTTGAATAAACAAATTATTTAAGTGGCAGAAGTCGAAACACAGAAATTATGTAAATAAATAACCATAACCACGATACAGAACAGAACAGAGGTCACAGGAGTGACAATCAGGACAGAGGTCATTGGATCCATGACAAACAGAGGGCTACAAAGTGACCAAACAGAGGCCAATGGTTATTTAAGTCCCCCAAGGCATGAGACTCCCATGGTGGTACTTACAAAAGATAATTGTTTATAAAATCATTGTCAAATAATTTCTAAAATTTAAACAAATATATTGACGGGTTTCATTTTAAACAAATAAAGTTTAGACAATAATCAACGTAATTGAAATATTAATATAATTTATAAAACACAAATTGCGTAAAATAAATTATAGTAACTCAAAATATACGTAAAATCTATTATGGTGACTTAAGGTATAATATAACTCACCTTAATGTTAATCTCTCATTGTTTCTTCCCTGTTCACCTAAATTTTCCCTTTTTACGAAAGGACTACACCTCATTTTGCTCCTTACATTTACCCAAAGCACCTCAGGCACCATTTGCTTTTCCTCCAAGGAACCACGTGGTATCACCACGTGGCCCTCTCTTTTGCTGCATGCTTATTCGTAAAGATAAGCATCTGATTCGTTTTTCTATTTTGTTTTGTTGTTTTTTGTTTTTTTGTACAACAATTAGATTAACTCTACTTAATAAAATACTAACTCCTAATTAAAATACATTTTTGTTTTTTTTTTTTCACATACCATCATAAAATTAATTATTCAATTTTACTATTACTACCATTATTATTATTATTACTATTGTTATTATTATTGTGATTGGTTGTGGTATTAATTAAATATTTAGGGTGTTACATTTTCCACTTCTAAATAGAAGTTTGTCCCTAAACGTGACGTACCTTGGTTTTCGAAGAGGTGTCAATATTTGGCTCGCATTTGACTCTCCGTTTCCCACGTAGCTTCTTTGACTCGATGATTTCTCCACAAAATTTTTACAAGTGGTATAGTCTTGTTTCGAAGAACCTGACCACGATGATCGAGAATCTGCACTGGTTATTCTTCATAAGAGAGATCTTCTTAAACTTTCAAGTCCTCATAATCAACCACATGTTCTGGATCTCAAAGATACCGCCGAAGCATCGAAACATGAAATGCATTGTGGACATTGGACAGTTCAAGTGGTAGTGTAAGGCGATATGCCACAGGACTAATCCTTTCTAGTATCTCGAATGGCCTGATGTAATGTGGGTTTAATTTTCCTCACTTTCCAAGTCGGATAACCCCTCTTGATGGTGAGATCTTTAGGAACACATGATCTCCTATTTGAAATTCCAAGTCCCGTCTTCGTGTATCTGCATAGCTTTTCTGGTGACTCTGAGCATTGCGGATTCGCTGTTGGATGAGTTGGATTTTATCACTTATGATTTGCACGATCTCGGGGCCTAACAGTTTCCTATCTCCGACTTCCATCGAACACAGAGGTGATCAACACCCCCTTCCATATAATGCTTCGTACGGTGCCATTCCAATGCTTTCTTGGTAACTGTTGTTATATGCGAATTCCACCAAAGGTAGATGCTCATCCCAATTACCTTTAAGGTCTAACACGCACACACGTAGCATATCTTCCAAAGTCTGGATGGTTCTGTCAGATTGCCCATCAGTTTGCGGGTGATAAATAGTGCTAAACTTCAATGTAGTCCCCAAAGCTTCTTGCAATTTGTTCCAGAAGTAAGACACGAAGTGGTGGTCTCGATCAGATACGATTGAAACTGGGGTGCCATGCACGAAAAATTTCCTTGATGTATAAAGTAGCAAACTTATGAACGGAGTACGTGATTTTGATTGGTAGAAAATGTGTTGACTTTGTCAATCGATCTACTATAACCCATATTGCATCATTCTTCGAGACTGACTGTGGTAGCCCGACCAAGAAGTCTATAGTAATGTGCTCCTATTTCCATTCAGGAATAGAGAGTGGTTGTAGCATCCCTGTAGGTCTCTGATGTTCTGTTTTAACATGCTAACAATGCAGGCATTTAGGGACGTGGCTTGTTATGTCTCTTTTCATTCCTGTCCACCAATAGTGTTCCTTTAGATCATGATACATCTTCGTATTGCCAGGGTGAACTATAAACCTCGAGCTATGAGCTTCTACCAATATCTTCTTCTTAAGTTCTGGAAGGTTGGGTACACAAATTCGATTCTGAAATTTTAGCGTCCCATTGCTTATAGTGAAGTCAGGATCAAGCGTACTTCTTTGCTCCTCGTACTTCTTCTTTAAAAGTTTACCTTCACATTGGCGTGCTTTAATTTCTTTAATCAAAGTAGGTTCTATAGTTATATTGGCGAGCAAGCCATTGATCTAGCTGTAAACGAGAGTACATGCCAAACTTTTAGTCATCTTTCGGCTCAGTGCGTCTGCCACCACGTTAGCTTTGCCTAGATGGTTATGGATCTCTACATCGTAGTCTTTCAAAAATTTTAGCCACCGTCTTTGCCTCATATTCAGTTCTTTCTGTGTAAACAGATATTTAAGACTCTTGTGATCAGTGTAAATTTCATAGGTTGCACCGTAGAGATAATTACGCTAGATCTTGAGGGCGAAGATCATCGTAGCCAATTCTAGATCATGGGTTGGGTAGTTCCTCTTGTGAGTCTTTAGTTGACGTGAGGCATAAGCAATGACTTTTCCATTTTGCATAAGAACGCAACCCAAACCATTATATAAGGCATCACTATAAATTACGAACCCGTCTGTTCCACGAGGAGTGCTAGTATAGGAGCTGACACAAGTCTGCTTTTTAACTTTTGGAAGCAGCACTCCTGTTTGTCAGTCCATTCAAAGGGTGTGTTCTTCTAAGTTAGCTGGGTCAAGGGTGATGCTGTCTTTGAGAAATCTTGCACAAAGCGTCGGTAATAGCCAACTAGACCCAAGAAACTTCAAATTTCTGACACATTAGTAGGTTGTGGCCAATCCACGATTACTGAAACTTTTGGGGGGTCAACCGAGATACCATCTTTGTTAATGACGTGACCGAGGAAGTGTACATTAGTGATCCAAAATTTGCATTTCTTCAACTTGGCATAAAGTTTATGATCATGTAGTGTTTGTAGGACAGTTCACAAGTACTGCTCATGGTCTTCCGATGACTTAGAGTCTTTGAGATTGTCGTCAATGAAGACGATGACGAACTTATCAAGATATGGCTTGAACATTTGATTCATAGATCCATGAAGGTTGCTGGATTAACTTTTAGTTGATGGTAGCCAGAATGCAAGTCAATTTTTGAGAATACTTGGGCGCCTTGAAATTGATTGAACAAGTCATCGATTCGTGGTAAAGGGTAGCGATTCTTGATGGTGAGTTTGTTCAGCTCTCGGTAATCAATGCATAACCTCATCGTGCCATCCTTTTTCTTTATGAATAGTACTGGAGCTCCCCAGGGTAAGGTACTAGGTCGAATGAAACCTTTGTCTAGTAGTTTCTAAAGCTGGGTTTTCAGTTCTTTTAATTTTGTTATGGACATGCGGTAACGGGCTTTTAATATTAGTTGTGTACCAGGTTGAGCTTCAATAGTGAATTCGATTTCTTGGTCAACTAGGGTACCAGGTAAGTATTCGGGAAAGACATCTGGGAATTCTCTAACCACGAGGATTGCATCAACAGTGGGGACATCTTTTTGTATATTGATCACATAATAGATATAACTACAACAACCCTTTCTTAGAAGTCATTGGGCTGTCATGGAGGATATAAGACAGGGAGGGGTAGAAATTCCGATTCCATCAAAGACAAGCTTATGTTGGTTTGCTAGTCAGAGGGAGACCTTTTTGGCTTTACAATCAATAGAGGCGTGGTTGGCAACCAATCAATCCATTCTTAGGATTATATCAAAGTCACCAATGTGGAGGGGAATCAAGTCCATGTATAAGGATTTGCCTTTTAAGGATATAGTACATGATTTGTACGCATCAATACTAAGGACAGAATTACCAAAAGGAAAAGATACAGACAATAAATATCCTAAGGGTTCGGGTGTTGATGTCAACTTTGCAGTAAAGTGTGGCGCAACAAAAGAATGAGTTAAACCAGAGTCAATGACGACATGAGCTAAATGGCCACAGACAGAAAGTTTACCTGATACAACATTTTCGGTAACTTCCGGTCTTCCAGATACCAAGGCAAGAGCCTTTCCTTGGTGTTTTTGGTCCTTCCTCCCTTCTCCAGGTTTTGCAAGTTTTTTGACTAGTCTAGAGGGGCCAGCTATAGGATTGGTAAGCTTTGGACAGTCGCTCATCAAGTGGCCAACTTGACCGTATTTAAAGCATGCTCCCGTGACTCGATGGCATTGTCCACAATGACTCTTTCCACACGTAGGACAAGTTGGAATAGGGCCACCTCAGGGGTTAGTAGGGCCTTGATTGCCTGTATTAGTTATGCCCGTATTTACCCTCTTGGGAGGCGCAACATTGGATCTTTTATTGCCTCTTTCCCAAAATCGCTTCTTTTGGCTTGGTTCTCCGGAGTGTGAGGCTTTAATCCCCTTTTTCCGCAATGTACGCTTGGTCTACCACTTTCACATAGGTTGGTAGTTTCAAAATCTTAAGCCTATCTTTGATTTTAGCATCCAATCCTATTTCAAATTTCCTTGCTTTTCGAGCTTCGGTAGGGATAACATATGTCGCAAGTCGAGCGAGTTATGAACTGACTCTCATACTTAGCCACCGTCATGGTTTCTTGCTTTACATGTATGAATTTCGACGCATTTTGTTCCCGCAGAGAATTTGGGAAGTATTTTTCATAAAATACTTTTAAGAATCTTGCCCAAGTCACAATTTCTTCTTTCTCCGGGGTAAGAAGCCACCATTCCTTCGCATTATCTTTGAAAGTGAAAGTGGCGAAAGTTACCTTCTGTCTTTCGGTGTAGGGTAAGGTGTGAAAAATATTTTCCATGTCTTTAACCCAAGCGTCTGCTACCATTGGGTCTAGATCGCCGGTAAATGTGGTGGGTTTCAGATCCTGGAACTGTTTTATTATAACCAGCTCTTCTTGCCGTTCTGGCATCCCATTGTTTTTGTTAGTCTGCAAGGCTTGCAAAAAGCTGGTAACCACTCTTTCTATGATTCTTTCCATCGACTCAGTGCCACTAACTGATGACTCGCTTTTGTTACCGTTATTGGCCATTCTACAAAGTACAATTTCGTGGAAATAATTTAATAGACGCGGCATCACATTTAGAAAGTACAATTTCGGGGAAATAATTTAATAAACGTGGCATCACATTTATTAAGTACAATTTTGGGCGAAAAACTCATAGTGCCCATAACGGGTTCTAAAGGTAGTCTTTTCGATGCTTTTTGTTTTAACTTTTAGTTGATGGTAGCCAGAATGCAAGTCAATTTTTGAGAATACTTGGGCGCCTTGAAATTGATTGAACAAGTCATCGATTCGTGGTAAAGGGTAGCGATTCTTGATGGTGAGTTTGTTCAGCTCTCGGTAATCAATGCATAACCTCATCGTGCCATCCTTTTTCTTTATGAATAGTACTGGAGCTCCCCAGGGTAAGGTACTAGGTCGAATGAAACCTTTGTCTAGTAGTTTCTAAAGCTGGGTTTTCAGTTCTTTTAATTTTGTTATGGACATGCGGTAACGGGCTTTTAATATTAGTTGTGTACCAGGTTGAGCTTCAATAGTGAATTCGATTTCTTGGTCAACTAGGGTACCAGGTAAGTATTCGGGAAAGACATCTGGGAATTCTCTAACCACGAGGATTGCATCAACAGTGGGGACATCTTTTTGTATATTGATCACATAATAGATATAACTACAACAACCCTTTCTTAGAAGTCATTGGGCTGTCATGGAGGATATAAGACAGGGAGGGGTAGAAATTCCGATTCCATCAAAGACAAGCTCAAGTTGGTTTGCTAGTCAGAGGGAGACCTTTTTGGCTTTACAATCAATAGAGGCGTGGTTGGCAACCAGTCAATCCATTCTTAGGATTATATCAAAGTTACCAATGTGGAGGGGAATCAAGTCCATGTATAAGGATTTGCCTTTTAAGGATATAGTACATGATTTGTACGCATCAATACTAAGGACAGAATTACCAAAAGGAAAAGATACAGACAATAAATATCCTAAGGGTTCGGGTGTTGATGTCAACTTTGCAGTAAAGTGTGGCGCAACAAAAGAATGAGTTAAACCAGAGTCAATGACGACATGAGCTAAATGACCACAGACAGAAAGTGTACCTGATACAACATTTTCGGTAACTTCCGGTCTTCCAGGTACCAAGGCAAAAGCCTTTCCTTGGTGTTTTTGGTCCTTCCTCCCTTCTCCAGGTCCTACGGGTTTTTTGACTGGTCTAGAGGGGCCAGCTGTAGGATTGGTAAGCTTTGGACAGTCGCTCATCAAGTGGCCAACTTGACCATATTTAAAGCATGCTCCCGTGTCTCGATGGCATTGTCCACAATGACTCTTTCCACACGTAGGACAAGTTGGAATAGGGCCACCTCAGGGGTTAGTAGGGCTTTGATTGCCTGAATTGGTTGTGCCCGTAGTTACCCTCTTGGGAGGCGCAACACCAGATCTTTTATTGCCTCTTTCCCAAAATCGCTTCTTTTGGCTTGGTTCTCCGGAGTGTGAGGCTTTAATCCTTTTTTTCCACAATGTACGCTTGGTCTACCACTTTTGCATAGGTTGGTAGTTTCAAAATCTTAAGCCTATCTTTGATTTTAGCATCCAATCCTATTTCAAATTTCCTTGCTTTTCGAGCTTCGGTAGGGATAACATATGTCGCAAGTCGAGTGAGTTGTGAACTGGCTCTCGTACTCAGCCACCGTCATGGTTTCTTGCTTTAAATGTATGAATTTCGACGCATTTTGTTCCCGCAGAGAATTTGGGAAGTATTTTTCATAAAATACTTCTAAGAATCTTGCCCAAGTCACAATTTCTTCTTTCTCCAGGATAAGAAGCCACCATTCCTTCGCATTATCTTTGAAAGTGAAAGTAACGAAAGTTACCTTCTGTCTTTCGGTGCAGGGTAAGGTGTGAAAAATCTTTTCCGTGTCTTTAACCCAAGCGTCTGCTACCATTGGGTCTAGATCGCCGGTAAATGTGGTGGGTTTTAGATCCTGGAACTGTTTTATTATAACCAGCTCTTCTTGTCGTTCTGGCATCCCATTGTTTTTGTTAGTCTGCAAGGCTTGCAAAAAGGTGGTAACCACTCTTTCTATGATTCTTTCCATCGACTCAATGCCACTAACTAATGACTCGCTTCTGTTATCATTATTGGCCATTCTACAAAGTACAGTTTCGTGGAAATAATTTAATAGACGCGGCATCACATTTAGAAAGTACAATTTCGGGGAAATAATTTAATAAACGTGGCATCACATTTATTAAGTACAATTTCAGGGAAATAATTTAATAAACGTGGTTTCACATTTATAAAGTACTATAAAGCATCATACATATAAAATTCTAGCAATATAATATAATATTGGCATTACATCCTTATCCCAAAAGTCAGAAGTAATGTTAGTGTCTAATTCTTTTGGTAAAAAAACAAAAGAGGGATCAGAACCGATCATGGTCAACTTACAAAAAAAAAAAATTGTTTTTTTTTTTCCTACAACATCTAGAATGGTGGGTCAAACAACCCCGAGAAGTAGTATTGCATAAAAAGCTCAAATTCCCATCCTAATTGTACCACACCAAAACAAACCCATGTTTCCTGGACTGTAAAATTGGGGATAGACTGTATATATCCCCAGAACGCTTGATCAACGATCCAGCTGGGTGTCTCGATGTATGATAAGTCATTGCTAAAATCAACATTATGAATGTTAATAATTTCCAAAGGGTTAGGGATGGTGGTGAATAGTTAGTCTTCAGAGTAAACATTCCCCATTCTCTTAGCAAAACCTGGACTATAAAATTGGGGATAGACTGTATATATTCCCAGAACGCTCGATCAACGATCCAGCTAGTTGTCTCGATGTATGATAAGTCATTGCTAAAATCAACATTATGAATGTTAATAATTTCCAAAGGGTTAGGGATGGTGGTGAATATTTAGTCTTCAGGGTAAACATTCCCCATTCTCTTAGCAAAATCTGGGAGCAAAGGGCCCACTATGTAACAACCCTCATTTTGACTTGGTCATACTTGCATACATTTATGGGCGATCTTGTTTTAATATGTGCATTTGCAAATCTTGTCTTGTTTTGCTTGAATGATTGCTTGCATACTTTGTTCTTGCCTGGTGTATTACCGAGGTCGTCTTAAGCCTAGACACCTTTGAGACCTTTATCACTTAGAACTATCTTGGAACCCCTCTGGTTGACCTCCATCTTCACTCTGGCATATTGGCCGAGATGTCACCATCTAGGTCGAGGTGCGCGTCGCCTAGGCCGAGATGTGCATCATCTAGGCCGAGATGTTAATATCTAGGCGTTCTAGATCCTTGATCCTTGCATTGGTGATTTTGTTCCTGGAATGGTATGACCTAGACCGAGGTGTGGCACATCTAGGCCAAGGTGTGGCACAGTTCAGTCAAGTGTTGTCCTTCCAAGCCGATGTCCTTGCCCCTTGATTGCCGGAGTCTTGTTGTTAGCCGATGTCGTTACTTGCCGGTGTGTTCTTGCCGCCTAGCTTGTTGAGTACACTTTGTCTTGGTCTTGTCTTGTCATATCAGTCACCTTTTTGGATAAAGCCAATCAGCCGATGCCACGTGTCCCGGCAGAGGGATTAAGTCAGTGATTGTCGTGAGGAGCATATCTTTTTGTATCAAATCTTGCCTTTTAGAGAGAGAAACTCTAGGAAGGAGAAAGAGAAGTTGAGCAAGAGAGAGTGAACTTCCAAGCTTGATCGTTGGAGCTTGAGCCGTTTGATTCGAGTTTTAAGGACTTGGACTTGCCTTGACCCCAACGTTTGAAGAACTATGTGAGTGGTATTTTTGATAAAGCTATGTTATCAATGTTTTGATGAGCTTTGCTTTGCTTTGTTTTTGAAAGATATTTGTTAAGCATGAATGATTGTCCTTAGTTTTTTATCTCGTATTATACTTGCTTGAATGACCTTCTCGGAAAGTCCCTTATGCTGGAGGACTCTAAACTTTCGCAGCACATCTCGTTCGAAAGTCCCTTGTGTTAGAGGACTCTAAACTTTTGCAGCACATCTCGTTTTGGAAGTCCCTTTTGCTGGAGGACTCTAAACTTTCGCAGCACATCTTGTCTAGAAAGTCCCTTGTGCTGGAGGACTCTAAACTATCGCAGCACATCTTGTCTTGAAAGTCCCTTGTGTTGGAGCACTCTAAACTTTCGTAGCACTCTCGTGTTAAAAGGCTACGGGTCTTTGTAACATAGGTCCCTTGTACTAGAGGACTCTAAACTTTTGTAGCACCCTTGCTTGAGATGCCTCTCTTACCTTGTCTTGTTTTGCCACTGACGGTTTACCGTGTGGATATGTTTGCCGGAATGTTATCGTTTGTAATATGTTGATGCTAGTAAGCACCCCTTGGAGCTTTGAAGATTTGTTAGATGGGCGAGGACCATCCCTTGTTATTTAAAGTTTTTGACTTGTATTGTTTTGAGAGGACTTCGGCTGTTATTCATGCAAACCCTTTATTATTTATGCCATTCACTGAGTATCCAAGCTCACCCTCTCTATATATATGTAGGTGATGAGCAAGAAGGCGGTGACGCCTAGATGTGATTCTGGAGCTTATTTTGGATTTTGATTATGTCGGCTTAACTTGTAATTACGTCGGCAGTCTTGAAAATTATGCTTCTCGATTTGTAATACTTGTATGTTGCATACGTCGGCTTGAGAAGCCTTTTGATCAAGATGTGTGTTTTGTATTCATGTTATGTCGGCAGTGAGGATGTCGGCAATCCTGAAGATTTTGCTTCTAGCTGTATTTCATGTATTTTGTTCATGGCGGCTTGTGAAGCCCTTTTGTTAATATGTAAGATGTAATTTGTACTTTACTTCGTTTGTAATTGAGTTGTAACCCATCTGTAGATGATTGCTATTTCATTTAACTTATGCACAGCTCTTATGAACTAATCTGATTGTATGTATCGCTTCCGTACTTGTGAGCCCCATATATTTATACTCTGTTGTGTGTGAATTTTGAAAGTTGGCCTTCGGTAATCTCGGATTACTGGCCATCACGA